TTTGTAGATTGGAACTATGTTAGCCTGTTTCCACCCGTCTGCTACGATTCCTGTACACAGGGATGCCTGAAAGATCAGGTGAAGTGGAATGCTGAGCTCAGATGCACATTCTCTCAGAACCCATGGTGAAACGCCATCTGGGCCAGCTGCTTTGTTCTTACCGAGCTCCTTGAGCATTTTTTCCACTTCGTCTCTAGACACCTCTATGTGTTCTATGTTGTTCTCTGGAATTCCTATTGTATCTGGTTCCCTAAAGATTTCATTTTGTACAAACACACTTTGGAACTTTTCGTTTAGTGTTTCACACATTTCCTTTTCATCTTCCGTGAATCTATTTCCCATTTTCAACCTCTGAATATTATCCTTTACCTGCAATTTGTTGTTTATGAATTTATAGAATAGACCTGGTTCTGTTTTACATTTGTCCGCAATCCCTTTTTCAAAATTTCTTTCTGCCTCTCTCCTCACTGCCGTGTAGTTGTTTCTCGCATCTTTGTATCGCTGGTATGTTTGGGGGTTCGGCCTCTTCCTGTATTGATTCCATTTTTGTGTCTTTCGGTCTCTAGCCCTCTCGCAATTTCTATTGAACCAATCCTGTTTCCTAGTTCTGCATCTCTGTTTTGGTATAAATTTTTTTGTGCCTTTATCATATATTTCACAAAACTTGCCATACATCTCATTCACTTCCTTGCCTAGCATCAAGTCTGTCCAATTATACTCACTAAAAAAATTTCTAAGGTCACCATAATGTCCTCTCCTGAAGTCTGGTTTTTCAACTGCTTCAACCTCCTTATTTTCTTCCAGCTTATAACGCATTGCATACTTTATTCCCAAAAAGACATGGTCACTTTTACCCAAGGGAGGAAGGTACTGAATGTCAAATACCTCTTCCTCCTTCCTGGTAAATATCAAATCTAGCATGGAGGGAACGTCCCCTTCCCTCATCCTCGTAGCTTGTTTAACATGTTGATACAAGAATGTTTCCAAGATGAGGTCTACAAATTTACAGGTCCAAAAATCTTCTGTTTTAGCTTCATATGCTTCCCAGTCTATGGATTTCAAGTTGAAGTCACCGACTATCAACAGTCGTGATCTATCGTTATCCGCTCTCGCTATAATCTCTCTCATTATTGTTATAAGACCTTCACGTTTACTATCTAGCTCCTCCTTTGACCATGTGCTGCTTGGCGGTGGACTATATGCATTTATCATCATTAGTTTATCATCCTCATAGCAGATCTCTAGTGCTATTATGTCAACTTCTTGTGGATTGGCAGTCATTATTTCCTTCACCTTTAGGTGTTCTTTTACCAGCACAGCAACGCCACCGCCTTTCCTAATTTTTCTGTCCCGTCTCCAAATTGAGTAGCCCCTTGGTGTGTGTGTGTGTGTGTGTGTGTGTGTGTGTGTGTGTGTAATTACCTAAGTGTAGTTACAGGATGAGAGCTACGCTCGTGGTGTTTAAAGATGTTAATTATGGGTAATTGCCCAGGAGGATGTCGCCGGAGACCCGTGGCTGCCTTGATCAACACCCACGGGTATGTGACCTCACCCACTCCAGGCCCTATGTATGGTGTATGATGTATGTATGTATGGTGTATGTACACACATACACACTCCAGGTGTGTGTGTGTGTGTGTGGGGGGGGGGGGGGGGGGCACGTGCATGCGCATACACACAAACATTTTTTTGATGTATCACATTTCCCCCCCCCTCCTCCCCTAGGGTTGAACTGACCCTTTCCATGATGCAATGCCACAACATTTGCCAAAGTTCCAGGTACCTATTTACTTCTAGGTGAATAAAAGCATTAGGTGAAAGGAAACTATCAACCATTTTTCCCCCACCCAGGAATCGAACCTAGGATCCCCTGAATGTGTTGAGAATGAAGCCAACTGTGTGTATTTTTACTATGATATATATAAATATACACAATTTTGAATCTCTAAATTGAAAGTTTTAGAGGAAAATTTAATGATGCGCAGTTTTTAGTTTGCATTGAATACTACTACTGGCAATTTGGACATGTATTTCATACTATAATATATACTACTGTACTGGTTTCTTGAGCACTACATATTGCCAGTTATCTTAATGTGTGGAAGTACCTTTTGGTCTGGATAATTGAGGATACTCTATCAGCTACGTACAATATTTAACTGGTCTCCTAATTGTCGTGTTTGTTGTATGGAGACGGTGCCCCTAATGCACTCAACTAAGTGGTGCAAATAACTCTGCAATCTCATTAATAAGTTCATGGAGATGTGGCAGGATCCCTTCTCATCTGTCCCCAGGAGAAACCACATATATCTCAACCTTGTCATGTTTTCCACTACTGTACACTATCAGTGATGATAACGAGTCATCATATACATAAATACAACTGAGCACATTGTTAGAAAATGAATATTTAAGAAGTTGCTGTCAAGACAGCGAGTGTTGTTTCTATATAGGAGTATTATCATCTCGAAAGGTAAATGTAATATTTGCATCAATTCATGCTATGTTACGACATTTGTACAGATAATACTATGTCACTAGTTCAAGTGTTACTTGACTGAAATTTCTTAGTTGTACACATTACTGTGATTGTCATATTATTTTCCTTGTTTGAAACTTAAAATGATTCAACTAAAATAGTTATCGTGACAAATGAAGTATTTTGCTAATATAATAAATCACCAATAGTTGAACTAAGTGTGTGCATCATATTTTATTCACTTGGACCATTGGAGATTCAAACTTGGCCCTGAAAAATAAGATGACCATCCTACCAGTGTTCTTACCCATGCTGTTGTGTACATCATAATTACCTGAACACCACCACCATGTCTCTATAGCCTCAACTGGGACAGGAAGCTGGTGCTTCTGGAAGGTATGTGTAACAGTAGTTCACAATTGAGTTAGAATATTTTGACTGTGTAAGTATGACCAGATACATGTAATGTAAACCGAATATAAGATTTTCGTTGTGCTCATTAAAATATTGTCTGGCAAGTTATTTCTTCATTTTCTTGATAAAATGAATGGTTTGTATAAAATGAATGTTAAGTGGTGAAATTCCGTGGCCCGGTCTCTGACCAGGCCTCCTGGTTCAACCTGTCATCGGGATATCATAGTACTTATGTCAGATAATGCTCATAGCTCCTATGATGCTAATGTTCAGTTTCCCTGTGGTAGATTTACAGTTATCCCTAGGCACCAACCCTTCCTCACGTACCATAGGGAAACTATGAACATTAGCATCATAGGAACTATAAGCATTATGTGACATAAGTACTATGGTACATCAAAGGTACAGTATACCTTCCTGCTTGTGGTAGCCCTCACCCAGGGTGGTCAGGTGTCTTTGGATTTCCCTGCTTTTTCTTTGGTCAGGAGTGACATTGGTTGATCAAGCATTATAGATATACTGTATATAAGAAAAGTAATAACAGAGCAAGACCTCTTTGAACCCCACCACTAAAAAAAATACTTGGCCTAGGGTTTAAAAAAAATTATTATATGTATTATATTATATATATATATATTATATATATATACATACACACACACAGTGGCATCTCTATTAACGAGTTTAATCCATTCTGGCACCGAGCTCGTTATGTGGAAAACTCGTCTTAAACAAATTTCCCCATTTAAAATAAAGGAAATCAATTTAATCCATTCCACTCCCAAAAACATCCATACTTGTATGACTTTTTTATATAAATATATATAATTATATGTGCAGTATTATGTTTTGTTATACTGTTTTCATGTTTACTTTACCTTATGAAGAGTCGTTGCTGGCTTGAGGGAGATGATGGGGAGGTGGGAAGGAGGAGAGGGGTTATGGTTTGGAAGGAGAATCCACCTCGGAGTCAGGCAGGCTCTCTCTCCTTGGGAATTTCACCCCACTGAGACCGAGTTGTAGTTCACTATCACTGGCACTTCTTTTCTCTACTTTTGCAAAGAACGTACCTATTGACAATTGCTTTTGTTTTAGGATGTTCCTAAAACGAGACGGCAAATTGTCATTAAACATGTTAACACACCGGGTTGTCACTGCTTTATCAGGGCAGCTTTTCCAAGAATGCGTTCACCTTTTCAAACATTCCCAACACTTCCCTGATCTCACTGGCAGAGGCAGCATCCTCCCTTACCTCCTCATTCTCTTACTAATGGTGCAAATTGTTGATGAGGACCTGCCATACTCCCTTGTGAGATCAGTCACACAGACACCACACTCATGCTTTGCTATAATTTCCTTCTTCAAATCCACAGTAATTGTGTCTTTCTTCCTCTTGACAACACTTATCTTTAGCAAGCAGCTTCTTTGGTAACATCGTACATTACAAATTGTAGTCACAAAACCACAAAAAAACAAAGAAAAGCGCATATAAATGCAGAGATATGCTTGTTGTGCATGATACAACAACAAGACTGGCGTCTGAGAATTTGCGAGAACCCGCGAGATGCTAGGAAGCACCATGTGGTTTTGCTTGTCAATAGACAAATTTGCCGAGAGTGCCTCGCTCATTACTGGAAATGCTCGTAAATAGAGCTGCTCATTAATCGAGGTGCCACTGTACTGTGTATATATATTATATATATACTGTGTTGTTAAATATGACCGAAAAAGTAAGATTAATAATTCTAGCACGAATTTTCTCAATATTTCTTATGTTTCTTTTTACTGTCGACAGTAAAAAGAAACATAAGAAATATTGAGATAATTCATGTTAGAATTATTAATCTTCCTTTTTCAGTCATATTTAACAACATATGTTTACAAGAAAGACTGCTACCAAAATATAATAATAATATATATATATATATATATATATATATATATATATATATATATATATATATATATATATATATATATATATAATCATCACACACTGTATACATAATATTTCCCAAATTTATAATTATTATACTGTAGTGCTATTCAAAGTTTCAGATAAATATATTCACACTTGAGATACAAACAAGACATGAAACAAGTTGGAATTTAGAAAATATTTTATATATTAAATTTTGCACTAGTTAAATCAATATAAAATACAATCTTTACTATCTATACAGTATTACATAAAATAATACTGGCAATATTTGCTTCATCTAGGACAGTATTAGTTGCTACAAGTTCCATAGTTAATGTGTCATTCAAAGTTTAACAAAATCATCAAAGACTTGCAAATTAAGATAATAAAGTATATTGTAATGCCAAAAAAATGTCTTCAATGAAGCCCAATATGGTTATTTATTTACACAGTAGCTATCCTAATTCTATCTTTAATAATTGTGATGACTAAATCATACTGTATAGAAACTATATTAAGTATAATGGAAAATTAATGAACTTTAAGAATCCTAATTATTTCAAAAGTATATTTTTCTCAGACCTTGTGCAAAATAAACGTGCAACAATTTGTTTCTGGAACATAAATCATATTTTAGTTCTTCGATTCATGCTTTCTTTAGTTATATTAGCAAAATGTAGAGTTTTAAAAGTAAATTAAAAATACATGTACCAATGCAACTTGTGTACCGTGGTAATTCTTCTGCAACTTTAATATATGAACAAGTTACATGTACATATATATATATATAAATATTTTAGTTTTGAAGGGGAGCCGTCTTGGCTTTACATCATATTACGAAATACTATTGTATGCTTATTTTTGATACCATTAATATTTATAATTACTGTAATAAAACATAAAATGACTTTGCTGGTTATAAAGACATTAAATATAAACTATACACTGCAGTAATTAAAATAACATGAAGATGCAGGCGATGTGTCAAGATGACATGACTGAAGATATGATGACGAAATCACACATCAGAGGATGCAGAAGCAACGACATTTCGGTCCGTCCTGGACCGAGTTAAGATATATGTGATAATGGTCCAGCACAGACTGAAACATTGTCATTTCTTCATTATCTGGCGTGTGGTTTGGTCATCAAAGAAACGAAGGTCTACTCTCATTCTCCTCCATATGCAATTAGCAGTATTGAATACATGTTCAGTACCAATGTAATGCTAAAGAAATGCAGCTAACAACTCAATTACTTCATATTTTAATTAATAACTTATCATTGAACATCCTCACCACCTTAGCCTAATACCAACACTTTATAGTTTGTTGAACCTTCTCACCAGCTTTGCTTCATACTATAACATTTTAGTAGGTATTCTAATTTCTCAAAGCTAACCTAATCTATCCATATTAAAACTGCAGATATCCACTTCTAACTTTATTCTATTATTTATATGGTATTCATCAAAACTTGTAAAAACAAAAAAATAAACATTATTCATGAATAAAGATTATTAATATAGTAAAAATGTAAAATTATAGTTTAGTCTAAAATTTTTTTTTTTTTTTTTTTTGTTTCAGCAATTTCAAACATCTTACATAAAATCAAACTATAGATCATTTTATATCGTGCAGTAAATTTTTGTATGTCACATTAATGGTGTAAGAAGGCACACCATTATGAAGCTGTCTACACACCTCGGGATTACGTACGCTAATCTGAGGCACCAACCACGCACTCTCATAATTGAAGTTCAGTTGCAGCTCCTGAAGTCTTTGTAAAATATAATTATTCTGGAACTCATTTATTACTGTTTCAGTGATTGTTACTCTTTATTCTAACAGTGAATCTATCTATTGTATAGTTTGTGAAATTTCATACAGCATCAATCTAATGTCATTTCATGTTTTCATACCCTCTTCCCACACACCTGTAACATTTATGGTCCTTTACTTCAGTAGCATAAATGTGACCCTGTTGACACTTAAACCATGTACCTTGGGTCATCTTAACACCCATTTGTGTGCCAACTCTTCTGTTATCATATATAATTAAATATTTAGAACTACCGTCCCCACACTTCCTTAAGAGTTTGAGAACCTCAGTTTCTTGCTGATATGTAAACTTGTTCTTAGGATTAAATAGTTCCACGAGTTTGTCATAGACATCTTTCATTTGAGTGTCAGGATCCGATTGACATTTTTTTTCCAATAACCAGAAAGAAGGTAGAAGCAGCATACGCTGGAGCTCACAGCTTGTGCCATCAATAAATTCTGAAGCCTCATGGCATCTTAATTCCATTACTCGTTTAACAAGTGTTTCTAGTTGAGGAAACAATCTACTTTTAAATGTAAAAAGCATTAAAACCAAATCTTTGGGTGATAATCCAATTAAATCTGGTGGACTAGAATGATGCTCCATCACACGAGCTTTGATCATGTACGCTTTTTTTAGCACTTTAGCCTTGAAATCGATTAAGCGTAATTCAGAGTAGCTTAATTTGGGAGCATCTTGCATCCACCTCTTTTTAAAGCTCTTCTTGTTTGGGGCCATGTTCATGGTAGTCATCAGGGTATACAACTCATTGGAGAAGTAGTCCCCTGACATAAAATCTGAAAGACAAATTGTATATATATAAAATCTTTTTCTGTAAGACTAGGAAAACATTTATGGATATACTGTATAGCAAGTTGGATAATACAAGATATATGAAGATGATAAAGAATGAAAGTAATTCAGTAGAACTTTATTTACAGCAAAGTTTTGCATCATACACACACACACACTACAGACAGGAAGTCCAAAGCTACATACTATTGAGGGGAAAGTGTTCTAAAGTTGTATAACTTCTCTTGCAGGTTTAGGCAAGTTGTGCATTAAGCATAGACACAGAGTTCTCCCATATTAACAGGAATTTGATGAAAGAACGTGAGTGACCCCTCACTAACTAGTTGCCCTTGGGAGGTGGTGATCTTTGGGGGGGGGGGGTTTAAATACCCCAAAATTACCATCTCTTTTAAGGGTCTGAGTTTGGTGCAGTGGGTTAAAGGCATACCAGTTATGCCAGTTGCTGTAAGGCTTCTGTACAGGATAGGGTTCGAATCTCCTGGTGGGAAAGTGTTCTAAAGTTGTGTGTGTGTGTGTGTGTGTGTGTGTGTGTGTGTGTGTGTGTGTGTGTGTGTGTGTGTGTGTGTGTGTGTGTGTGTATGTATGTATGTATGTATGTATGTGTGTGTGTGTGTGTGTATGTATGTATGTATGTATGTATGTATGTGTGTGTGTATGTATGTATGTATGTATGTATGTATGTATGTATGTATGTATGTATGTATGTATGTATATGTATATATATATATATATATATATATATATATATATATATATATATATATATATATATATATATATATATATATATATATATATATATATATATATATATATATATATAATGTCGTACCTAATAGCCAGAACGCACTTCTCAGCCTACTATTCAAGGCCCGATTTGCCTAATAAGCCAAGTTTTCATGAATTAATGTTTTTTCGTCTACCTAACCTACCTAACCTAACCTAACCTAGCTTTTTTTGGCTACCTAACCTAACCTTACCTATAAATATAGGTTAGGTTAGGTTAGGTAGGGTTGGTTAGGTTCGGTCATATATCTACGTTAATTTTAACTCCAATAAAATAAAATTGACCTCATACATAGAGAAAAGGGTTGCTTTATCATTTCATAAGAAAAAAATTATAGTAAATATATTAATTCAGGAAAACTTGGCTTACTAGGCAAATCGGGCCTTGAATAGTAGGCTGAAGTGAGTTCTGGCTACTAGGTACGACATTATATATATATATATATATATGTCGTACCTAATAGCCAGAACGCACTTCTCAGCCTACTATTCAAGGCCCGATTTGCCTAATAAGCCAAGTTTTCATGAATTAATGTTTTTTCGTCTACCTAACCTACCTAACCTAACCTAACCTAGCTTTTTTTGGCTACCTAACCTAACCTTACCTATAAATATAGGTTAGGTTAGGTTAGGTAGGGTTGGTTAGGTTCGGTCATATATCTACGTTAATGTTAACTCCAATAAAAAAAAATTGACCTCATACATAGAGAAAAGGGTTGCTTTATCATTTCATAAGAAAAAAATTATAGTAAATATATTAATTCAGGAAAACTTGGCTTATTAGGCAAATCGGGCCTTGAATAGTAGGCTGAGAAGTGAGTTCTGGCTACTAGGTACGACATATATATATATATATATATATATATATATATATATATATATATATATATATATATATATATATATATATATATATATATATATATATATATATATATATATATATATATATATATATATATATATATATATATATATATATATATATATATATATATATATATATATATATATATATATTATTAATTATACAATTCCAATCCAGATTTCCAAAGCCTGGTGTAGAGCTGTGTGGTGTTTTGGAAGCCGATAATAAACAATGGTAACATTAAGCTTTGTTAGGGACAGGAAACCTGCTATGCTTATTAACTTCTCCCTAGTCAGGTGATGCTATCTTCAAGGTCACCGAAGCAGTTATTAGCAAAACTCTACAGTGCTTGACTGTTCTAGAAATACTCATCATCCACTCCACAAAACCAGTCACTTATTATATTTTTTCCTACCTCTTAATGAATTCGTAACATTTACACTCGAGATATTTGGTTTCTTGTCCATGTACATTCGTTTCACAATACTCAAGTCCTGGTGCATCCCTTGTATTATCCTCTTGTAACGTCGATTGTAGTGAATTGGGTTTGCACACTTTGGACAAGTTTTTAATCCAATGGCATCGTTTTGCTTCATCATCCACACGTCAAGTGCTTTAACTTCAATAACGTGTCCACAGTCCTCTAACAGCACGTACCTTGAAAATATGTTGAACTCATTGATATCATTTATTTATTTGATTATTTAAGTCACTTGCAATTAGATAACAATGGGCTATAGAATAAATTATATGGATTTGAACTCTTGCAAAGCCACTAATATACATACTTTTTGGGAGTTTTATTCCTTCAAGTGCACAATTTTTCAAGCCTGATGTGCAATTCTCAAAATATTACTGGGATAGCTCCCTGAAGCTATCTCACTACTGAGTCACATCAGTCGTGGGAGTCATGTTTGCCCTACTGGAGACCAGAGCAAGAATCCAGCCCCCCTTCCCCCTCACTGAGGCACAGAACTGGAAATTGTTATCACTCACACCAAGAAAGCATCCAGAAAGTATGCCAAGCAATGCAGACAACTGCATAGTACATAAAAAGGAAGCACCAAAATGGCTAAATCACTACACAATTCAAAACCAAAATTCTTTATGTGAAGCCTCATTCTAATTTCCTAGTGCTTAACAGGTGGTGTCCCAGAGCTTGCAGGTCAGTCCTGGTGCCAATTCCTAAGCACTTAAGCCCTCTTGAGTTGCCTCACCATAACGAAATACACTTCTTTTCTCGGATAAATGCCAGCCATCACTTGAACTTTGGTCTGTGGGGACCATTTGTTAATTTAATTGTTCCCATTTTTCTGTATGTGCTTAATGAGCATGTGTTTACCTGCCATATTTCTTTTGTGGATTTTGTCTATTCTTCACTAGAAGCTGTAGATGTTTAGGCTGACCTTTCCCTAGGGTTGCATCTAGCATTCCCCTTTGCAATAACAGTAACTTCTCTGGTATGTTCGGAAGTTCTCCCTTCAGAGGCCAGGTCGCCAGGATGGAGCCTCTCACCCTAGGTAGTGCATGGGTTGTTGGTTGTGTCATAGGGGTTCACTAGGGCATGGTTGTTCATAAGGCATGCTGCAGACACCCTTTGTAGTAGAGTATAGCCCATAGAATGCATTTGATGTCTTCTTTCAGCAAACATCCCCAGTACCTGGCCATCCTGGTTGGTTAAGAAGCTTCAGGCCCTAGTAACACCCCTGTGGGTAAGAGGTGTGGCTTGTCATGGATCAACCTGTTGCATCTGCTCTCATTACATTTGAGTTTGAAGGGCACTTGTCAGCCTTGCTACATGCAAGTTGTCATTTTGTCTCCCTCTGCCTCGATCCCTGTTGGGTAGGTGATGCCTTTGATCCAGAGTCCTGCAACGTATATACCCAAGGACCACCATCTACCTAATGGCCTCAACAGGGACAAGAGGCATATTGGGCTGCTGCTGATTAGCAGGACTCTTCCCGCATCCATGGTTTGCAGTATAGTGTTCAATTAGATGTCCCAGAGGTGGCCCACTCTTCTTTCATTGTATGGTTCACCCAGCATCTGGTCTTCCCTTCCTGGTTCTGGTTCCAAACTGACTGTGGGCTTCCGAGTAAAGTCAGATTTAACTTTTGGAGGTAGCTTGACCACCTCCATCCACTTCAACACTAGAGGCAGTTAAGCTGTCCCTTCCTGCAAGGGACATGGAGACTTCACCTTCTCAATTAATGGAGTTCACAACTGTCTCAGCTATGGTGGGAGCTTATGAACTAATGCACTCACCAGTCCTGTGATGCTGTGTGAAAGTCAAGGCCTTCAAGTCTAACAGGAAGGGAGGCTCGTTTCAGTCATTGAGAGAAAGGTTATGGGCTTTTTCCAACAATGATTTCAGCACACTGTCGTACTTTTCTAGTTTAAAGCTACTGAAAGATGGTGAACATCTAAGAAAGTAGGCCAGCCTGAGGAGGGACAAACATTGGGTGATGAGGTAAAGTGCGTTGTGAGCATCAATGTCTTCAATCCTCTCATCCATCCTTTTCAGGTCAACAATCTTCTTACCAAGGCCCTCGTCGATGGTCTTCGCTCCAAGAGGAGCTCCTAGGAGTGTGCCATCTTCAGGTTTTGTTATATTAAGGTTGGGACAACTTAAGGTGTGGATGTCGAAACATTAGTAGCTTTAAAATTTAACATGACAAACACGACTGGAAAGATGGGACATCACAAGTTTAGCTCCAAACCGTTAACTTCGTTTGGGTACCTAAAATCTATTTACTGAAAACATCATACAACTATAGAATACATACTCTTTAATATAATCACTGTAGAATATTTGCACAGAAACAAACCTGGTATTATTATCAGTCTCGGGAACATTCTCAGCATCATGGCAAATGAGGCAAAGTGGTGGGCAAGGGTCACCACAAAACCCAATGCATAAGTGACCACACTTCAAAGTGTTTGAGCATGGCTCCTGACACAGTGGTATGGGACAGTTGTCACTGCATTTACTCGAACACTGGTGATGCTTGCATGTTGAAGAGCATGGTTTCTGTTAATAAGAAAATATATTAGGAATGGAATTCAGAGTGTAAATAACCAACACTAAATGTAGTGAAATGCCAATTTCTGGACGAGCCCTGGTGGCTTCCTAAAGTTACAATGCTGATATAGTGCCAAAGTACTAGGTGCCATCAATTGCGAAGTTCTTTTAGGCCAGGGACCATAACCCAGAACCTGGCTGTCTCTAATGTGGTGCAGAGAGCAGTTGTATTATGTTAAAATTGTCAGTGAATTTTAATCATGCCTGCCACCACTGGAGAAGCACCCACAAAGTCACTGAAACAAAACAAAACTGCTTCTTATAAGGAAGATAGATGCCTCCAAATTACCATAAGAATGCCCCAATAATGCAAACAAATGATTGAAAATTCATGAAACCAGAGCAATCTCGTTTGCCCCACCCCTAACCAATTGGGCTGGATGTTAGAGCAACAGTCTTGTTTCAAGCAGGTCGGTGTTCAATCCCCAACCCTCCAAGTGGTTGGGCACCATTCTTTTTACCGTCTATCCCATCCCTAATCCTCATCATGATCCCAACCAGTGCTCTATACTGTAGCCATAATGGCTTTGGCACTTTCTCCTGATAGTTTCTTTTATTTGCCCCCCCCCCCCTCATTTGAGGGGAGGAGAGAGGAAGACTGTGGTCAGCCAGTTGCTCCACCATCAGTTCTTTGCTGACTGTAGACAATGTGTGGTGCCCAGTCTGGTGCTCTGGCTCCAATATTCTGCTTCAGCTAAGAATTGGCTTTTGCCTTTGTGCTGTTCCAATACACATTTGTGCTGTGTGAGCCAGGTGTATAGGGTAATCGGAGCTGCATGTACACAGGGTTTTCTTCCCTGTATGCTCCCTAGTGCAACCAGGGTTCTCTTCCCTGTATGCTCCCTAGTGTCACCAGGGTTCTCTTCCCTGGACTATTCGGAGTTTGCTTCCTTAAAGGCTTCTTCGCTTGTGGTGGTCCTTGCCCTGGATAAGTCGGGTTGTCTCTGGCTTTCTGTCATCCCTAGGGTCAGGAGCAAGTTTTGGCTGGCAGGATGCACTGGGATTCAAATGGCCTAACCACAGCATGCCGAGGTCAACCTTCTCAAGTGCCGACCTCAGTCGTGGCAGACATTGTTAAAATTAACCGAATTTTATTACAGTGCCACTGCACTCTGCACCTCATTAATAGGAGGCTCAGGTTCTGGCTCATGGTCCCAGGTAGGCCAACAACAACTCTGCAATTTATGACACCCAGTATGCAGGCAATGAGTCACAATAACGTGTCTAAAGTATGTTGACCAGACGACACACTAGAAGGTGAAGGGACGACGACGTTTCGGTCTGTCCTGGACCATTCTCAAGTCGATTGAGAATCATCCACAATAGACTTGAGAATGGTCCAGGACGGACCAAAACGTCGTCATCCCTTCACCTTCTAGTGTGGTCTGGTCGACACAGTAGTTTGGCACTACTGTATCAGAACTGTAGCTACAGGGAGCAACTGAGGCTCACCCTGAAATTAGCATTTCATTATATTCAATGCTGCATTTTCTTTTTGTAACCTTTTGTAACAAACGGTAACATTATTACTGTTACCATGCATTTCTATTTGTCTTTCTGACTTCTTAAGCATTTTGTAGACACTATGATCCCATTTTACCAAGTTTGCTCAGTATCTTCTAATGTAAATCCAACCCTTTTACTTTTAGGATGTCTAATGTGACATTTTTACCACTATAGGTAAAAATTTCAAGGTAGCCAAGCCCCTCAATTCAGTAAAGACAACTGTAGATTTGTCTATGTTACAGAAATAAACCTCTAGAACAGCTTGCTGTACAAATCTGTGCCCCAGTTTAAAATACATCTAGACAAACTTCTTAGAAAAAAAATTGGAAAATCATTCACAAGCCAATTGCATTTTCGATGCTTAGGCCACCAGGTACTGTTTTGTAAATATTTCCAGCTGTGTATTAGGGTAACCGAGTTTCCCTACTCTTTTGGGTAGGCTAGCTTGGCTCTCCAGTGCACCTCTAATCCTCAGGCCACCTGAATCTTTTAGTGGATGGAAAAAGGGGGGGAAGCAGGAACTGTGTTGTGAGGTGCCCACCTCACAACACAGTTTATAAGTGTTTTCTCAATTTAAGCATTTTAAAAGTGATAGTATTTGGATTGCACGCATATTTCCCCCCCTCTTATATGTGTTGAAAAATATATAACGTATGCACTGTTTGTTTAAATCTTTCTATTTAAAATACCGTAGTGTGTAGCTTGTGTTTATTTTAATTCTAGAATTACAATAATAATTTTGATTAGCACTTTAATTTAGTATATGTATCAATTTCCCTGTGTACTGAACCTTAATTATTTTATTGTGACCATATAACTTACAGTGTATGGTATTATATGAATTTCTTCCTTGTATTAGAGAATTACCTTCCCTTCCATTATTAAAGTGCTTCACAACTTTACATCATATGTAAATCGTATGTAAACCGTAAATCATAAATCATTTATCATCATCACCTCCAACTTCACAAGGTAAAAAAAACTACGCACCCGACAAATGGGCAACTGTGCTCCGCAAATCATCTTGGATACATGAGGACACCACTTGACAGCCTGCCGGCATGGTGGGCACACAGTTCCACATAGTTCTTGACACCTGAAATACATCAAAATAGCTTATGTCAATATGGAAATAAACTTAAGATATAGAAAGTATTCGCTCATAAAAAAGCTCAGTCTCTCAATCTGCCCCCCAATAGGTGTTCAGATTGGTTGTTACAGTAACCTAACAATCGCCAGACTCTAGTACATTCATAATTTCACCAGAATATAGTCTATTACTTATATATATTACTATAAGTACTATTACTATTACTTACTATAATTTAAATTAATACTATACTACTACTAAATTAGCCATTGCCAGTCAATATATTACAGTGGATACAGCAATACTTACCTATGACCACATACAAGCTTTCGTTCACAACGCTTTATACAAGGAAGGTGAAGACGACCCTGACGGCATAACCCACAAGAACCTTGGCAGGTGTGACCACAGGGCAATACTTGACCACAACGCGCTCTGCAGAAACCCCACGTAGCTTCAGTGGGCCCTTGGTAAAAAAAAAAAAAAAAAAATACTATACATGGCTCAATTGTTATAAGACGATTATTGAGGCATAACCCAGTCTCCTATATCAATATATTTCATGGTACAAACTACAAAAAGTTTTTCTTCTCAAAACTTTTATGAAGGAAAAAAAAAAAAAACTGTAATGAAACGTCATTTTCTGGGTGAGACCCGGAGGCTCTTCAGAGCTATACTGGGCTGACGTGTATAAATTAGACCATGGCAAGTCACTCAATGGAATTCTAAGCTTACCAGGGACCACGTGCCAGAACCTGGCCCCCTCAGAGAGGCAAGAGGAGCAATGGTCTACAGACACCCCCGTGTGGTTGGAAACAGTCTATATCTGCCATCTACCAAGTCAGGCACCCAGAAAGGTAGAAATCCCAAAACAATCTACAGCTGGTTAAAAATTGCAAACCGAAAGCCGAACGAACAAGCAAAACTCTCCAATCGGAAAACAAGCAAGATGTCACCACAGCCGCTGTCTGCACAATTACCCCCTCCCCAAGAAGGGAAAGAGGGAGCCCCAGACCCCTCTCACCAGCTACCCAACCTCAGTTCAGAGGCTGAATATCAAATACACAAAATCCACCAACCGGAGGGAGGGATGCTGGGGAGCCTCTGGGTCTCGCCTAGAAAATGGCGTTTAATTACATTCAACACTGGTTTTCTGTAGAGCCCCCCTTCGGCTCCCCGGAGCTACCTAACCAAAGATAAAGGAAAAAGAGGAACTTACCCGGGAGGCAGCTGCCACTTGCTCCTCAACTCGAAGTTGAGACAACTGGCTGTAACCTGCAACCCAAGATTACACAAGCCTGAAAAGGGCCCAGAACATTACGAGCATAACGAGGTACCATGCGGCCAAGACCCTGCTTAACCTCTAAAAGTCCCATGCCCGAATGCTAGCCCAGGACTTGTTACCAAAAACAGCAGCCAAAGCTGCAAACTTACGAACATCGTGGGCACAGGAATAGACCGCAGGCTGGCTGGACCGAATAATCTTGCAGACGACCTGGGAGAGTCGTGCCCTGAAACAGGGAAGAAGGGAAACTGGGTCAACCCAAAATGCATCCCTTGCCACAGAGGCCGTGGTGCACAAGTAATGGCGAAGAGCCAGTTGCACGGCAACCGGATACAGAACATGATGCACCCCCTCTGAACTAACCAAGCATCAACAACCCAAGAACCCCTCCAGAATAAACAAAACAAAAATAAATCACCAAAGTTGATAGACTCGGTGGTCTATGCTACAATAACAGCGAACATTTGGACAGGCAGTTTTGTAAAACTCATTCTAGAGACATTGTCTCCAGAATGAGCTTCCCCTTGGTGGTAGGAAGTTTTAGTACAACCACCTCTAGTGGACACTCAAGTAGAAGGGAGTTTTTTCTATACCAACTGTGGGTGTATAAAAATTCAATCACGCCAAGAAAGGGCAAATGGGTCTAAACAGAGATCAACCAATTCATGCAGTAACAGAAAAAGGCATTTAAGTAGGTGGCAGGCCATAAGCTCAGGTGCATTTTGCCACCATCTTGTGGTAACGAAGAGTTACGCTTCCAGTTGTTCATCTGTCACAAAGAGATTTTTTTCTCTCTTAGGTTGTGATGTGCAGCCTCCCTTTATGTCTTAAAAAAAAAAAAAAAAAAAAAAAAGCCTGACCCTGGACCTCAAAAGGTCATCGTGGGTTTTAAAGTTGAAAACTACATATTTTCCTCTTACAAATTAATTTCCAGCTTTAATTTCCAAATTAACTTCCATACTTTCCAATAGATAGGACACATTGTTGTACTGTAACAAACTTTAAGATCAATGTTGGAGATTTCACAAAAATATGTAAATAATAGGGAAGCAATGCTTTCAAAACCATTTTCTTGAAATGTATTAAAATAGTTTTTTCAATAAAATCTTGTAAAATACAGGTGCTTCTTGACTTTTAGACACCAGTCGTCATCTGTTGATTCACGGGATAATGCGTTATCATACGATAATTTGAACAATTATTGTCTGGGTTTTACGTGTATGATATAAGTAAGGATATAAGCTTCGTGTGGATGCACGAGCTTACCTTGACCTATAAAAAATCCCTGCTATCATTTCAGGATTACATTAATCCTCTGTAAATGTGGTTATCGTCATAACTGTCACTAGTTGAATGCAGTCATTGTATAAAAATCTGTCATAATTACACGATATGTATATCAATGATGTTCACATAGTTTTCACAACTCCATATGGTTGTAATGAGGTATACCAGGCAAATCAAATCACAAATTGAACCATTATCATGCATTACGTTTGCTAGGAGCCTGCCGTCATCTGTGGGTGCTACATTTGTGGCTTACGCCTTTGTTCGAATCTATACTGTCAGCCCAACACCTTTTTATATTAAGTTTATATGGTTTTCACTCCTCTGTATGGTTGTAATGAAGTATACCAGGTAAAGCAATCATCTATTGAAACATTATCATGCAATTATGCAATTTATCAAGATATTCAACATACACTCCTAAAAATAGCGAGATACAAGTGAAAAACAATGAAACGCCCGCATAGAAAACAGGAATCAAGTCTTGCATACCTCAGTGTCAACAAAGTCAATATCACCTGTTGACAGACACCTAACCACGTAGCCACAGCAAAACCCTTTAGAGAACCTCCACCACAATGTTAAAAAGGTAATTATTCACTCTTATTTGATTTTCTTACATTTTGCGTGCAATAAAGTAATTCTAAATGTATTTATTTTCCCCACATAGGCATGTATGACCATTTTTCCACAGCTGCTGTTCAAGAGTTTTAAGCAAACCTTATACTCTGTAAAATATGGTATATGCAGTTTACAAAAATAATACCTTCCTTACTTTGGTCAGATATGTGGCAAGGCTTAGTGATGCTGTGGTTGTAGGGACAACTTGCATAGTTGACTTCTTGTTGACAGCGTTCTGTGCAAGGATCACAGCACCGCTTTGTACAAGGATGCCCACACTTCAGTAATAATGGACATTTGCCTAAGCAAGATTTTGATGTTGCTGGTTCACTGCATTTCACCTATCCAAAAACAAATAATTAAATTATTACACGATATAAAGAGATCTAGACATATGCTTGCATCATACCATGATTGTTAAATTTTAGTATTATACCCCAAAGCTTTCACTTATCTCAAGACTACAATTAAGATTAACTTTATTACTTGTTTTGAGTTCATATTTCAAAATGCTGGTTGTGTGACCTGAAGCTACAAATTTACTGCTGCCAAACACATACGAAGGCTGTATGATAAACACTATTTATAACCATAATATAAACTATATTACATTAACAGTTTCAGCATTAAAATACAGTATACCTATTCAAAGGACCGAGAAAAATTCAGGGTTGAATAATGAAATGTTTCATTCCGGGTGAGGGCCCCCCTTCCGTGGCTTCTTGAAGCTATCTTGCTGGGATGGCTCCCGACTACTAAAGCACATCAGCTGGCGAGTTCTGTTTAGCCTACCAGGGACCAGAGCAAGAACCTGGACCCCCTCCCAAGGAAGTGGCAGAGCACCAGAAGTCTCTTACTGCTGCCTCCAAGAATAACAAAACATCACACTGCTGCCTTCAAGCACCACAAAACTTCATACTGCCTTTGAGAAAACAACTGCAGGTGGGACATCATCAAATTAGCCACCCACACATCTTAGAAATGATGATAAAGATGAGGCTGCAAACAGGGAAAATGCAAGGAAACAATATAATAAAGCAAATAGCCCCCCATAGGACAAGTTCAAGGATGGTCGGCACTTTGCTTCAAGATTTGGGCCTCGCCCAAGAGCTGGTGTGACAGGAAGCATTAGAAGTGTGTGGTGACACCAACATCAGGAACAGACCCGGTTTGGAAGGCCAGCTGGATGCTGGGGTTGGACCACCTGGGTTAGTTCCCGGCGCTGGCAAGAAACAAAAATGGGCAGCGTTTCTTTCACCCTGATGCTCCTGTTACCTAGCAGTAAATAGGTACCTGGAGTTAGACAGCTGTTACGAGCTGCTTCCGGGGGGGGGGGGGGGTGTATGTGTGTGTAAAAGAAAAAAATGTAGTTAGTAACAGTTTAAAGGCGGGCCAAAAGAGCAGAGTTCAACCCCTGCAAGCACAATTAGGTTAATACCTGGTGGTAGTAATTTGTGCTAACATGCCTTGAGCTTGTTTGAGTAAATCCCTTGTTCTGTGTCTCATTGGCAATATTTTGAGGCCTTGTTTTCTATTAACCTTTCAGTTGCCTGTAACGCTGCACCGACTTTCTGGAAGCCTCCTCTAGTGAGATGGCCGATTGTCACCTGCTCTCTCTGCCTTTGCAAGGGGATGGGACCAGGTTCCGGCACAAGTAGGCCCAATAGAACTAGCCGCGGCTGATGCAGCCTTTTAGGAAGACAGCTTCAGGTAGCCACAAGGGGCTTCCTACACAAATCATTAAATTAAATGGTGTAAATCACAACAAGAACCTACAAACCTGGACTTCATGACCACAGTCAGACGACGACTTCTTAATTAATTGCCGACATCCACCACAGTCACTGGAACATTTTTGTGGGCATGGGTGGCCACAAGGTAGAATCTTCTCGCATTTCTCTCCACATCTGCCACATTTATCCTGACATTTCAAAGCGCATGGATGACCACATGGAAGAATTTTCTCACATTTCTCGTCACATCCACCACATTTAAAACTACATTTTTGTGGGCATGGGTGGCCACATGGCAAAATCTTCTCGCATTTCTCTTCACATCTGCCACATTTATCCTGACATTTCAAAGGGCATGGATGACCACATGGAAGCATTTTCTCACATTTCTCTTTACATTTGCCACATTCATCAGGACACGTCAAAGGGCATGGGTGGCCACATAACAAGATATTTGTACATTTCTTGTTGCATCTTCCACATTTATCAGGGCATGTCAAAGGGCATGGGTGACCACACGATAGAATCTTCTCGCATGCTTTGTTACATCTGCCACATTTATCAGAACATATCAAAGGACAGTGATGACCGCAAGAGAGCAACCTCTCACATTTGGCAGTGCACCCACCACATTCATCTGAGCACCTCAGAGGACATGGGTGGCCACAAGGAAGGAGATTCTCACATTTACTCCTACATCTTCCACAATCTGTTGAACAAAGTTTTTGACAGGGATGGCCACAGGGTAATATCTTCTCACATAGTTTATTACATCCATCACATTTATCAGAACATATTTTTGGGCACTTGTGACCACAATGTAGAAGATTCTCACATTTATCTTTACATTTAAATAGACTATGATCACTGCCATGGCATTTAAACTTGCATGTGTGACCACAGGGCAACATAGCATTGCAATCCTCTGGACATGTCATATCATCTGGATCTTCATGACATTGTACATTAATCTTATGTTTGCATTTATTCCGCTCTTTCTCAACAATAACGTTGCACATGTGTTCATCAGGCAGAACATGACATTTAAGTTCGTGTCTGTGACCACAAGGTAATAATTTAGTCATGATAACATTACAAGGCTGGCATTTTACTGAACATGGTAGAGGACAAATGTGACCCCTCTCACACAGTTTAGAACATGGATATAAACATTCATAGCGTTCATGGTTGGGATCATTTGCATGACAATGTCTTGGGCATTTATGATCGCATTTAGGGAGAACAGTTTCACAATATTCCCAGCATCCTCCTTGTGGACTCTTTTTCTCAAAATCCTTGAGTGATGACACTTGGATCACATTGCCAGGATGATTTTTGCATTTAAGTGTAAGTGTATGGCCCAATGAGCCTTCTTTTAGAAGATCAGCCTTAACATGTTTCCAGAGATTACTTGAGGCACTTAGTAGGTCCATATTGCCTATAACATAGAGACCATGCTTGGCTCTTGAAAGTGCCACACACACTCTGTTGTCAATACGCAGGAATCCAACTTTACCTTCATCATTACTGCGCACCAGAGATAAAAGGATAATTTTATTTTCTTCACCTTGAAAGTTATCCACCACAGATATTCTCACACCTTCACATCTTTTATTTTTCCTCTGCAGCTGAAAAGAATTTACATTATTTTAGTATTGGATAAAGGAACTACAAGCCATGGCTCCCCTATCTTTACCCATTGGCCACTCAACAGTGGCCAACAGGTATATATAGGTAAAAGCTCAACTAAATACAAATATTATGTAAATACAGTAATACAAGAAAAAAACAAGATATTTCTTCACCAATAGGGTAAGAAATTTATTGAATTGCCTATCCATCATAGCCATAGATGCCAAGACAGTTCAGTTCTCCAGTTCAAAATTCACCTGGAAGAAATCCTGCATTAAATGTAATGAAATGTCCCTTTCAGGGACTAGTGTTAGACGCCTGAATAGCTCTACACATATTATGTTACACCAAACACGACAAGTCAATCTTACCTCTCGTAAAAGAAAAAATTGTCCTGAATAAGGCGTAAGAATCGTCACATCTGCTGGATTATAATCTTGCATTATCAAGTGTTGGCAAAGTCTCATGATAAAGTTGGCTTCATGTGTATTTCTGTGGGTATTATTACTAACGCCCTGAAAAAAAAAAAAATTATTATTATTATTATTAGCCAACATAAAGCTTCAACTATACACCGTCAGGAACCGGAAGCCTGATAGGCTTATTGAGCCACCTTATTGGCTTCTAAAATTCCAATTTTTGACTGACTTTCACTATTTTGACTGTGTGCTCAGCTGTCTGTTCTACAATCCCTTCAGAATGGATTTTTCATAAACTTTATGCATTTGGAGTTCTAATTTTTTTTGGGTCTAAATTTACCGCATATTTCAAATATCTTAACAATTTTTTTTTACAGTAAACTATATTGAAAACCTATATTCTAATTTGATGAAAATGAATAACATTAAATGAACAATTAGTGATAGTTCATATTTTTTATTCTAAAATGAAAATCTGAAGTTTTCAATATTCAAATTTAAAATTAATTTTGATTCTCTTGTTTTTCAAGTTATGGTGTGATCATTTAGACAAATTTGGAGCATTGGCCTAGTTGATTATGCAAAAAAAAAAAGAAAGAAAAAATATTGGAAAGTGTTTTTGCAAGTTTTAAAAACATGTTAAATTATTTTGTCAAATCGTTTATGTATGTATTGCGCTGTTGAAGGGTTAAACTCATTTTCACGAGCTTTCGTATATGTTAGACCAATCAACACTGTTGATCGGTCAGCAGTTTTCTGCTGAGCTCCCTCTCTCTTTTTTGAAGGAAGGGGTGACATTTGCATATTTCCAATCTAGTGGAACTTTCCCTCAGTCAAGAAATTTTCAGAGAAGTAGTTTCAGTGGTAGACAGTTCATTTATGACTTTGGATTGGATGCCATCCACACCTGGAGATTTTGAATCCTTTTACTTTTTTGCATATTATGGGACTATCCGTCAATTCATTCTTTTCCCCTACTTCAAGCATTTATGTAGGTACTGGGATGTTGTCTAATCTTTCTAGTGTGAACTCTGACAAAGTATTCAATGTTTGCTGCCTTTTTATTGTCAATTATATCTTGCTTCGTCTCATTTTTTAAAGGTTCTACGAAGTCTTCTTACATAGGCATAAAACGACTTTGGTCTTTCTTAGTTTTGAGCAAGTTTTCTATTTTTTTTTTTGTGATTCTCTGAATTGATAATTAATCCAACCCCTAGAAAAGATAAGAGCTTTTTTATTGCCTGTGTGATCCATCAAGTTTTCTTTTTTCTTTCTCCTACTTGGCACATATTTTAGAACAAGTTTAGTGATGACCTTTGTGAAACTCTCAAATTGTTTCCATATCTATTTCTTATTAACTCGCTTCAGGTGGTGGTTTATAATGCTCTGCCATTTCTTGATAATCTCGTTGAAAGTACTAAAATATCACTGTTCTGGATTTGATCACTCGTGTCCTCTTCTCATATTAGCACAAGATCTAGAATGTTATTACCTCTGGTGGGCTCTGTCACACTGCTGCACGAGAAAGAAGTCCTGTACGTACTAAGTAAAAAAAAATTCTCCTTCCACTTGTGATGTTAGATTCGCCCAGTCTGTTGTCTTGTCGTTTAAGTCCCTCCCAGTATAAGAACTCGTGCTTCAGTTGCAGCATTTATCACATTCTGCAGTGATTACTACAGAAGTTACAGAAGTAACTACTTACGCTGTTTGTGCTGTAGCATACTCCCACTCTGCTACTATTTTGATCTAGTATAATTGCACCATAAAGATTCTGAGGATCTCATGGTGTTCAATTCTTTCCTGCTGGTGGCATTCAAGTCCTCTAATATACAGCATCACACCACCTGCTCTTCGTGTTCAAGCCTTTTTGAAAGGTGGTCGAAATCCTGAAAGATTGAATTCCCATTCAATTTTGTCGCCTCATCCCCTTGTTTTGTTGATGCAAATGATGTCTAGAGACTCGCCATCAAGTGTAGACACACAAGACATCAAATTTGTTCACTAGGTTTCTGGCATTTGTATAAAAACGATTTAAATGCCCGACACCGTTCCTATATTCTGTACAGTATTATTTTGTACATTGTCCCTTTATATGCTTCCTTCAGACATTATTACACAATTTACACTATCAAGACTGCTACTTGTGCTCTTGAGATTTACAACTAAAAAGATTTAAATGGCAGAGAAACTCATTAACAAACCTTATCTTGAGGAATGTTATGAGTGACAAAGAAGACATCACCCGAGACACCCCTAACATGTGGATAATCATTCACAGATTTGTGGTCCTTCAGCTCGGGATAAATGGCAGGCACTAGCAGGCGGGAGATACTTGGCCGCATCCGATGTTGATACTCTAGTGTATCATACCTGTTTATGATAGTTTTTAAGCAAAATTAAATACTGCATTTAAATTAAGCTAAATTCTAAATTAAAGCAGTTTATCAGTTACACAATGAAATCCCAATAATGTGATATATCTATGAAAACATGTATGGAGCAGGGCAGCAGGATTAAACCTGGGTAACCCTAGACTACCACCTTATCCCATAAGACTAAGGAACCCCTCTAACATTGCCCCAAGATGCTGGTTTGATCCTGCCACCCTGTTCCATAGATTCTCAGTTTACTAGTTTGTGCTAGTCATCACGAACAATAACTTAAAAAAAAATTGGGAATTATGTGGTTCTAACCATTTATACACAGTATATACATACATTAGCTTACTTTTCATATATTATTACAGTATTACCCAAAAAATGATTTTTAGTTTAGTTCATTCATTATGCACCCCATGAGCAGTAGTGGCAAAGGTTACAAAGACCATAATGGACTCAGGAACTGAATCTCAAAATTCCATCTGACAATGCAACTTACGGTCTTTATGACTCGTTACAATCCATAATTATTAATGAATTATTATTATATTAATGAGCTCGAGAATAACCAGAGTTACAGTCTAAGTGTAAACTAGGATTGTGTAAGACACCAAGAGACTAAGACTTTACACTCTCCAAATGTAAACTCATCAAAGATGAGCGGCGAGGAGAGAAAGTGACAAAAAGACTGCAAAGAAACCTTATACTGCCACCTCAAGTTAACTCGCTGGTATGACACCATGAAAGAAGCCACCTGATCGCCATAAAGAGTGATACACACTTGCCAAAAATCCAGATGCAAACAGCCGAGAAGATTAAACCAGCAAAGTACATCAACCGACCAACCCTCAGATAGAGGCGGAGCCGCGGAAAAACCACTAGGTTCGGACACTGAGCAAGCAGCACCTGAAACAAAGGCTGGGTCAGCCACCAAGGAGTCAGAAGGATCATTTTTCCCCTGCAAGACTAACTGCCCCAGGACCCAGAGCAACAGCTGGACGAGGGAAAAGAATCCCAACCTCGACCAGTTCAGTTGAAAGGCCTCTACCACTAGGGCCACGTGATTGGTGAGCAGTGCTGTGTAAAGAGAACAGCGCTGAAACCATGCACATGCAAAGAGGTCCATGTCCGGGAACCCGAATGTCTCAAGAGCCAAAGGATGTTGGCATCGACTGTCCACTATGGAGACAAGAAGGAACCTAAATAGATTATGTGTAAGGACATTGGGCACTCCCTGAATGTGAACTGCATGGAGAACCAAACCCCAAGAACCCAGCAGAAGAGCAATGCAAGGAGTCCAACTCCAAGAGGCTAGGGCCATAGCAAACCCACCCAGTCGAGACAGTGAACCTGAAAAGAACAATTCGAATGGAGACAAACCATAGTACCTGGTGAAACCCAAACCCTCTGCAGCACATGACACAGGTGCAAGCTCCTGCACCATACTGTGCACCTGACAAAGAAGGACAATTGCTCTGGCCAAGTTTGGTGAGGACTGGTCATGAAGCCCCAACAGTCTCTCAGCACTGAGCCAACAGAGGTCACGCCCAGTGATCCCAGAAGCAGTGAAAGGGGCTGACCTGGAGAAATCAGGACAGCATCTGAAGCCAAAGTTTCAGCTCCCACAAAACTACTCATGCAACCACAAAGTTCACTAGGGGGGCTAACTTGACACCAACAATGGTGCTGCAGTTGAGTGAAGGCTGCTGGAGGAAGAGAAAGCAACACCAACTGTGAGTCCCAAACAAGGCCCAACCAAGTCCAAACTTGGGCCAGTACCAACTGGGACTTCCACCATTTCACCAGGAACCAAACCTGGCAAACTGGGAAAGAACCAGATCCAAGGTTTAGAGACATGTAGACCAGCTGGGAGCCCACACCAGCCAGTCGTCGATGTAGGCCAAGATCTGAACACTCAAAAAGACAATACAATGCTAGATTTCTGGAGGGTGCTCCCTCCAAAAATCTAGCATCGAATGTAATGAAACGCCTCTTTCTGGAGATACCCTGGTGGCTCCTCGATACCCTTCTTCCCACCCTACAGGTTCATTAGTTCATCAGCTCCAAAACTGCTTAGGAGAGCTGGCCAAGGGACAGGGCTGTGCTGCCTGGCGGCAGTATTTGGTACTAATAAGTTTCAAGTTAGTTTAGCGAATTCCTTGTTGTGCAGCCCATCCTCCTAAAGTTTCCCAACATCAAGAAACTGTCATGCTAAAGTTCCCTCTTCTAAGCTACCAGAGGACCAAAAACAGAAAATGGAACAGCATGTCAATTTTGCATGCTGCTACCATTTTCTAGTATGACAATTTTTAGCCTTGGGTAAAGTATACAGTACATCAAAATGTGATGTTCGATTAGGACAGGTTGTATTGTGTGTGAATCATGTGGTGGTGGTGGTGTTTGGCAGTTTTTATTTATTTATTTATTTATTTATGCATATACAAGAATGTACATAAGGAATGTGAGGATACAAATATGGTAATTACAGTCTTGTAAAGCCACTAGCACACGCAGCGTTTCGGGCATGTCCTTAATCTAAGAAAATTTTAAGGAGGTAAATACTTGCAAAATTATAGACAAAAAATGATAACAGATTACATGAAATGAAAAAAAGATGAGAGAAAATTGTAGGTACAGTATATTAAAGCACATAGGTAGCTAAGATTGATTGCAATGACAGCTTGAATGGTAGTTGACAAAAAAATTGGTAGGCATAATACAGCAGAAACAATATAAGATTGGTTGCAATGACAGCTTGAATGGTAGTTGACAAAAATTGGTAGTCACAGTTTTAAGGCATCATTTTCTGTGAACCCTCCAGTTGTCTGTATAGCTTTGCCAACTTTCCAGACGTTTTTTCGGTGGGGTGGTGGATTATCACCAGCTACCTGTGCCTCTGAGGGGGGGGGCCAGGTTCTGGCTCTTGTCCCCAGTAGGCTGCAGAGAACTTTTGCGACCGATATGACTTTTTTAATATGGAGTAATCACAGAAAAATAGCTTCAGCGAGCCACTGGGGCTCCTCTAGAAAGAGGCATTTCATTACATTCAATGCTGGTTTATTTATTTTAAATATATCAATACTGTACATAAACAACAAATTAGTACTATGTTAGGTTACTAACTACAGTATTGTATACTTGTGTTACAAAATGTTGATTAATAAATATATTTACAGTATACCGTGCATTAAAATTAACCACAGCTAGGCTTTGATATTAAGTGTAACTTAAAATTTCAGATTTATATATGAAAAAAAAAAAAAAAGAACTTTCACAGGTTTCTACCGACATTAGAGACTAATACTTACGGCAGTCCATTATTAATCATCCTTTCAAAAAGAGAGACATCCAGACCAAATTTCGTAGCTAAATCATGCACCGTTGTGCTGGGACGAAGCTGCTTGTGGTCACCTGAAAGAAATACAGTATACCATATTGAGTATTACACAACAACCACACATGTGTTAAGTTTTTTGGCAGAATGACTGACAAATTAACAGGAAAGAGATGGATAATCAGACAATGCCTCTACTTAAAAATTTGACAGGTCCAACAAAAAAATTATAAGTACTGAATGTAATGACATGCTAATTTCTTGGCGAGCCCTAGTGGCTCCCTGAAGCTACTATTCTGATATAGTGCCAAACTACTAGGTGCCATCAGTTGTCGAATTCTTTTAGTCTGAAGTCAACAACCATGTGTTCATACATTCGTGTACATGAGTCAGTGTGGGTGTGTCAGAACGAAGGACAAATGTACAGTGCAGACACAGTGACTTCATCTCAAGAGCCAAGGGATGGTAACGTCCATGTATACACCTAATTTTAATTGTGGGTATGGGCTTCAGCTCTTTGGTCCCTCCTCTCAACCGGGTGTTTGTATGTTTGTGTACACACCTGTGTGTGCGAGTGTATTGGCATAGCAGCTCAACAAGCGAGAGACTAACTTGTACTGAACATCAATACAGCATCCAGTGTTAAACGAATAACTTTGTCAACACTATTAGAGTATGGCTTACCAGTTTGTGCCCTTACACCATCAACATCTGCAACACCTACCTCTACATCCAAGGAGCAATAAGAGGTGCTGCCAAGGCCATCATCGTTGATGTCAGAGTGCATGTGTGTATGCGACAAAAAGCAAGCACAGGATCCTGGTTATTTTCATTGTGTACATCATATCTGGTGACAGTAATTGCCCAAAACTTGTATCAACAGTCCCCCCTCAGAACGATTTCTCTGTGATCAATTCGAGATTGTGAAGTATTAATCACCTCACTCTTGGCAGAGTTCAAGTGGAAACCTTCAAGCACGTCACACCTCTCTGAGGGTGGCCATGCACGATTGATTTAACACATGTTGGATTAGGATTGTCACCAGCATTATTAAAGTTTGTCGTCTCAAAAACAAGTGATAACAAAATCATAGCATTAGTATTGTTTTGATATGGCAAGTGTCAGAATACAGTAATTACACTAGTGTTCAGATTAGCTCAATTTGTGTGACCTATGCAAGAGTGTAGATACACACAGCAGAAATGATCTCTGCTGTGTGTGGGCTGCATAGCAAATTGATGTGACACTCTTAATTAAAGTAAAGGATTCCTCTGTGTTGTACTAGTTGGCAAGTTGTAAATACACTTGTTAAACGTTACACAGATCTTTCTGTTACACCCGACTCTTGATAATATAGACTTGCCTAATTCATATGATCCCATGCTAGCACTTGTCAACTTTCAAACAAATTAATGTGAACCTTTACCATTCACCTGCACCTCATGCACAGGGTGAATGGCATGACCAACGTGACTCACAACCTATAGGTATGCCTCCGTCTTGAGTAGGCCACCCACTGAGGAGTCAGAACGCGACACAGAATACTTGGTAAAGCGAGGCCCACTGCTCTAGGCAATTTGTGAACACCTGACAGTTCTAGCTCAATCAAGGAAGTCTGCCATATGCACATCGGGCGACTGTTGTAAGCATAACGGTTGTGAAAAACAAGTAATCTCACAAAATCAGTGAGATGGCTTCAGGGAGCCACCAAAGGACTCCTAGAAATGTATGATGAAATATTAAAAGAAACCATGTAAATGTACTTACCAATCATAATTAAATGCTTGCAGTTGGCTGATAGTGATGTAATAACATGCGATTCCAGAACTTCGGCAGCTTCTTCAATAATTACTGAAATATTTAAATTTGAAATTTATCCCATTTCCCAGCCTTCCCTTCCCTAACGGGAAGTGACAATTCCCATTGTTGGGGACAGGAATCTTGTACTTGTATTAAAGGTATAGGCTTGTATTAAAGTCAACCTCCCCCCCTATCGCACCCCATAGGCCAACCTACTGACCTTCCCCAGGATGCAACCCACAACAGTTGCTAAACTCCCAGGAACCTATCTCGGTGAACAGAAAAATAATGTGAAAGCAAACATGCTGAAATACTGTATTTCTACCTTGTCTAGGAACTGAACCCAGGATCTCTCGGTGACTAAGTGATGCACACATTCACTGCACCACGGCATTTGCAAAATAATTAAATACATCCAACCAGCAAGATATATAGCAATTTATAAATTAAAAATTAAACCCTTTTACAATGTACATGACAAGTGTAATAATAATAATAATAATAATAATGATGATTAGTAATGGTTATGTCTTCTCACAGACATAACATAGGACAAAAACCCACACTTATACATAAGTGTGAAAAGATTGTGTAAATTCCTTACATAAATTTCACATATACACAACTGTGGGATTTTACCCTAAATAATTATGATATTATATTTTTACAAATATTAGGAGTGATCGAGTATAATTTTTACATAGCAGGTATTTATATTTTCTATAAAGTAAATATCATGCAGTGTTTCAGTTGCAAATAAAGTCATCAGTTGATTCAATACTGAAGAAGCTGAACTTACCTACTGGAGGTGCAACAGCTTGCATGACACCATGATGCTGAGCTGCTGCTGTCGTTGTCATTCCAACAACTGATGATTCCTTCATGATGTCAATGTACCTTTGGTCCAAAACTTCCTTAAGTTCTAGAGATGTCTCTTTATATTTATCTTCAGCCTTAGATAGTCTAATTTTAAAGTTTTCTATTAGTACATCGAGCCATGACCTATACAGCTGCCAGCGTGAATTGAAGTCAAGTGTAAACAAATCCTCAATCTTGTCTCCTCTTGTAGCTTGAGGTACATTTTTCACAGCTAATCCTGCTTTCACCTTTGCTAGTCTACCAATATTTATGTTATAATTTATAAATGAAACAATATCTTTTGGTTCAGCTTCTAGTTTTTCTTCAAGTTCTTCAATTTTCACATAAAGACATTTAATTTTTAATGCATATTTAAGAAAGCTACTACCTTTAATCTTACCTTCTTGAACATCATTAAATAATTCCATTTTTCTGGATTGTTCCTCAAATCTGTTTAGTTCTTGAACATCCTTCATAAGGTCTACTTCCTCACAACTAATTTCAGGAAATTCCGAGACAGCATCAAAAAATTCGTTACAGTCATCAGAGTCACTGGTGCTAATGTCCAAAGCTGCCCCCATATCTTCAGGGGCAGGGCATACAGATGTATAATCTTGTTCAGCCGTAAGCCATCCAACTAGTCCACCGTGAAAATTTCCAATTTGACTTTGTAGGTGACATGGAATAATTCCACATGCTGTTAATTCCTCTAAACAAAGGATCCCCTTTGGCTCTATACATTCCATAATTGACACTTTCAAAGAGCGTATTTTACGTTCTAGGCCATCTAATTCTTTATGCAAATCACTGATGTTATAATTATTATGATACATTTCATATTTTTTTATTTTCAAAAGTGTGTTTACTTGGAACTTTTGAATTTTATCATTGTTTATTCTTGATCCAACTCTTACAATGTTTTCTGTGAAAGACATTATACCTTCTAAGAACTGATCCAGTGCATGATTGGTGAAACAAACTACCAGAATTGGTCCTGGGGAATACAAATTATTATGCAGGAGCAATTGAGCTATTTTAAGACCAATGAAGGTTTTACCCGTACCCGGAGGCCCTTGAATGATAACCAGTTCACGGGTGAGGGCATGTTTCAGAACTTTGCGCTGAGAAGTGTCCAATCCAAGATCAGATTCACTTGGCCACAATTCCAAGTCTTGTATTACTCTCACACTCTGAAGGTGAGACCAAGGGTAGTCAAGTGCATTACTGGGAGAGTCCTGTAATAATATCCTCCGGGTCCTGTAATTGTATCTAGATTTTTGAGGTTTCATTGCCTGCATCAAGCTTCCATCTTTTAGCACTCTCAGATCATATTTGACTTCATTTGTCAAGTAATCTGGAGGGTCAACATCAGTTTGAGTATGTACAAAATAAGACGAAAAAGGCAATTCTTCTCCACACATCTTTATCAGAGCAGTTAAGACATGCTTGTAAGCCAAAAAGAAAGCTCTAGACTCAATCATTACATATTCTTTGGAATAATCAAGTTCTGTGTTAGATTCAAATTTTACAGCAATTTTTCCCTGCTTCAAGTTCTTGCAGTCTGCATCAAAAATCGTAGCTATAATTATGGACTCAAAGTTATTCCAACTAAAGCATAACAAATTTCCAAACATAAAGCGCTTAGAATTAAGAGGACTAAACATTTTGGGAAGTTGGAATTGAACATAATGAATTAACTCCCTTTTCATTATGTCTGGTTTTAGGATCCTTACATTTCTATTTACCCAGACATCCAGGTTCTTGGACTGTGCATCTTTCCTATATGCAGTTACACCCTCACGTAGTGGTCTCATGAAGTCCTCTCTCAATAACCTAAACTGAACATCCAAATAGTGTCCACAACTTTCATATTTTCCTTTAGTTATATTTGGTCTCAACAATGAGCAGCCATAGCCATCCCAATCTTCCTTTGTTGGATATACAGATATTAAGACAAAATCTGTTGGTGGATTAAGTTTGAATATATTCAATTCATTAGGATGTCTGTAATTATTTTTAAAACCAAGCTTAACTTGTGACAGCATTTCTTGAAGACATTTATATCTTTCTAGAAGCTTAGGAGATAGCTTCAATACAGTTTGAGAAGCAATACAAGCATCAATCAAACTTGGAAACCTGTCTACAGCTGAATTAATCAATGCCTGGCTATACACTTCAAGCACAAGTGCCAAATTATCAAAAAATTTAAATGATGTTTCTGGATTCATTTTCTTTACTGTTAGAGTGAATGTACAAAGCTTGTTAACAAATCTTTCTTGTAAAGTTTCATAAAGAAGATGATAAAGTTTTTCTTTGTTAAGTTTAGTATTCACTGCATGGGCTAAAATACCAATCAGACTGAGTATTACATCATCTTTAATATCATCTTTGGAAACAATATCTTTCCAGCATGAAGGGTGCTGCAAAATCTCTAGTACAACTTCATTAGACTTGAGTTCATTTATGGATTTTAAATCCAGTGTATTTGGTTTGCTTTTCTCCAAACATGTATCATTACTAAGACTTTTAAGGGATCTTGTACCCTGTGTATGTGTACTTTCAGTCATTTTTGTACGGAATCTTGTACCTGGTGCACTAGATGCACTATTACTAAAGCTTTTATGGGACCTTGTATCCACAGTGCCATTGCTTATGCTTTTAAGAGTTCTTCTACCCAGTGTACTATGTGCACCATTAACGAGGCCTGTAAAGGATCCTGCACTCTGTACACTATTTGCACTGTATGGGTTACTCATACCTGAAAATGTTTTACCTCTACCATGTCTTTTGGACATAAATCTGCCTCTATTCATGACACTTGCATACTTGTCATTACTGTGGCAGTTGAAAGATCCTTTACTCGTAGCACTACCTGCATCATTGAGGCTTGTAAGGGATATTGTTTTACGTGCATTGTTACCAAGGCTTGTAAGGGATCTTGTACTCCGTACATCATTACAGAGACTTGTAAGGGATCCGGAACCTTCTTCTCGACCTGTACAGAACTGGTTTCCTTTACCTCTGTCATATCTTTTGGACATAAATTGGCCTTGGCTCAGGGTACTAGGATTCTTATCATTAATAAAAGATGCCCTAAGGATATTAGAACATTCTTCTTCTTTCCTGGATCTTGCCCTGCCAACTGGACCTTTTCTAGGGTATTGTCCTCTCGAGTTCATGTTTTACTTATCACTGCTGAAAGAAAGGTCAAACATTAATTTATCAAAAAATCAAAATACTGTACCACAAAATAAATTAAGGAAACCCATAAAATGCCAAATATCTGAACTAAGGAACTTATAAACATACCTATTACATTGACTAATGAGCTCATAAAATCCTAACTATTGTACATCTTCCAAGGAACCTTAAAAAAAAACTTGCAACAGATGAATGGTAACAGCATCATTTTTCAAAACATCTTGGCTTGTGTGTTTGCACATCTATAGGCCTATGCATGCAACAGATTACACACACGTTCTGAATTTTATACAATATATTATTATACTGTAATACTGTATATTTATTCAAAATGCAGAGAACGTGATCAGTGATCTAATACTGTAGTTGGTATATGCACGTTTTATTTATCCACAAATCATGAGCAATTCCCCCTTATAACTTAACATACAAAATATGTTCATGTTTGTAGGGCAGCTGCAGAGGCAGTTGCTGTTCTGCATAATGTCATCAATGCAGCATCAGAAAACTAAACCCTTATAATGGGGGACTTTAACAATGAGAAAATAGATCGAGTAAATCTAGCATCATAGGCAGGAGGAAATTTCTTACCCTGATACAGGACTCGTTTCTCATACATCATGTGGCAGAGCCTACTCAAGGTAACTGCATTCTAGATCTTGTGCACACTTTTGAAAAGGGCATGGCTGATCAAATTCTAGTAGGGAAAGGCTCAACCCTTCATTTGATCAGACTTTCCTAAGATGGATTACAATTATAGAAACTTCACATAAAGCTCCGTGATGATATGTTTCTAGATTACCATCAAGGAGACTATCAAAGAAAGAGAGGAATGGCAAAAAAACACGGAGGGAGTCTCTAGGTGACCATGGCATGGAAGGATCATGGGACTATTTTTAAATTTAATTAAGGTCATCACTGAACTTGTTCAATTGTGTGCCAAAAAAGGAGAAAGAATAAAAAGGAAACTAGATGGACAACACAGGTAGTAAAAGGAGCTTTGGTAACCAAGTGGAACCTTTGGAGAAAGTATAAATCCACAATGATCAAAGATTATGATATATATAAAAGGGCATTAAATACAGCCACTCAGGAAATCAGATCAGTTAAAAGAAACTACAAAAAAAAACTTGCCCAAAACATATGATACAGCCATTCTATGCTTATATAAGTAAAACAAAAAAAAGAACTGTAGGACCCTCAAAGGATGAGACTAAGTTATGATGAATAAAAGAGCAGTAAGCACTCTGAACAAATACTTTACATCAGTGCTCACCCTAGAAAGATTAGACTACATTCCACTCACCTCCTTCAAACAAATATTTGAAGTTGATGAAGAGAACGAATTAAGGAATATATCCATAGCATGTGACATCAGAAAGAGCACTGGCAAGCCAAAACACTCAAAAAGCCCCATGTGTAGATGGAATTCAATCCTAAGTATTAAAGGAACTGGCAGATGAACTTTGCCTACTGCTGAAATTCCTTTTCTGAAAATCTCTGGACCAAGCAACAGTTCCCCTAGATTGGAAATATGCAAATGTCACCCCAATTTTCAAAAACAGCAAAGAGCTCAACAGAAAACTACCAGCTAAGCATCTCGCATCTGCAGGCTCATGGAAGCAATCCTAAGGGAGGGAATCGTCCACCATTTGTGAGCAATCTTGTAAAATCAAGTCAACATGGATTTGCTAAAAATAAGAGCCTGCCTTACAAACCTCACATTTTTGGAAACTATAACCAGCTACTCAAAGGACTTGTGGTGGTAGATGTAGTATACATGGACATTGCTAAAACTTTTGGTAAGGTACCACATGAAAAACTAGCAAGGAAATTACAGGTACATGGAATAAATTTTGGTCCCAACCCTATGTTGGCACTTTCTTGTCATATACATCAATGACAAGAATATTACCTGAATTTACCTGATAAAATGAATTACAAACCACATCATCAAATTTGCAGATAATATTAAGATTTATGGTAAAGTGGGGAGTGAATATGATATTAAGGCCTTACAAACAGATCTTTTGTGAATTCCACAAAAAGGTCGGAAGACTGGGGGAATGCTCTTCAATATCGAAGAATTTAAGACATTGACTGGATCCATGTCACAACTTCCAAATTAACACTACCTTGCACCAGAATAATGATAAAAAGTACCATTGAGTTAAGAGTCCATCATTCAGTGAGAAAGTTACACAAGTGGGAGCAGTACTATTAAAAAAAAAAAAAAAAAAAAACAATTTGGGGGAGGTGTATCTAGATAATTTCTTCAAAATGCCAATGTAACACGAACAAGAAGCAACAGTTTCAAGATCAACAAGTGACAATGTTGGCTTGAAAACATATTTTGTCCACCTACAAGGTTATATACGTATGGAACCACCTACCCGCCGAAGCCATAAATGCGAAAACGGCTCAATTTCAAAATCCAGCTAGATAAAATTTGAAAAAAATGTGGGGGTGGGGGAGGCACCAGGGATATCTTTGAAGCTGCAGGCTTCTTGTCCTTGTCGAGGCCACATGAGATGGAGGCCCTTTGATAAATTCATTCGCAGTCGGCAATAAAATGTGTAAGGCAGCCTAGTGCTATACTCAAATAGTTCAAGATTACCTAGTCTGAATTGTGATTGCACACCACACCAACCCCCTGACGGTAGAGGTACTGTCACACGGAAGTCACACACATGATTATATCGCCCTGCATTTGAACACGAAACAAACTTGTTCAATACACGTCTTTGTACAGGTTACTTATTCCGGTTTCCTTTGACAATTGCATATTTTTATATTATTAAGCTTTTATATGAAGGTATATCTATATGTATGGCAATGGCTTTTGATATTTTACAGATCGCTAATAACTGTGGCGTGCGTTTGTGCCTGCCCGCCCGCCTGGTGTGACCGGACGGGCGTGCGTGCGTGCCTGCCTGGTGTGAGCGAGCGAGCGTGAGTGCGTGCGTGTGTGCCTGATGTGAGGAGTGAGCGTGCAAGCATGCCTGCCTGCCTGTTGAAAGCGTGCGACCATGCCTGAATCAAGCCATGCGAGAACGTGGGACAGAAATCATACATACGAACTATATATTTATTTGTACACAATTTTCCATAGGATGAGTAGGGTTTAAACCACTGAGTATATAAAAGGGTTAATACCACCAACGAAAATTCGCAATAGCGCATTCCTAAGCGTTACAGTAATGTTTAAAATAAAACAAATCTAATATACAGTATATATTATAGTTGTGTGTATCGTTTGCTCTAGGGGTAATTAAGCTGTTTTGGTTGTAATAATTATTTCTATTTAAACCCATTGTCAGGCTATACTCGCCCATGAGCAGAGGTAAACTATTAAAATACATTCAAGCTGGAGATGCAGGCAGGAATAAAAGGGAAGGTACTCCAGAGGATAGAGAGAGTTCCTAAGCAACAGAAGACAGCGGGTCACTGAGGGAGGGGGGCGAGGTATCAGTAGCGAGACGGCACCATTGACTCCCACAGGGTTCAGTCCTTTGACCTATCCTGTTTCCGATATATGTAAACGATCTCCCAAAGGGAATAGACTCTTTTATACTATATATTTACTAATATATGCACATTGAATAGACTATGTTTGCTAATGATGCACAAATTATGAGGAGGATTAAGACTGAGGAAGATAGCAAGACGCTACAAGATGACCTAGACAAACTCAAGGAATGGTCCAACAAATGGTTAATAAAGTTCAACCCAAGTAAATGTAAGGTAATAAAACTAGGTGGAGGGAACAAGAGGCCAGGGGCCAGATTCACAAGGCAATTATGCAGGTACTTACGAACGTGCACATCTTTCCTCAATCTTTAACGGCTTTGGTTACATTTATTAAACAGTTTACAAGGATGAAAACTTTCCAATCAACTGTTATTGTTATAAACAGCCTCCTGGTGCTTCGGAGCTCATTAACTGTTTAATAATTCTAATCAAAGCCGCCAAAGATTGAGGAAAGATAGACAGGTTTGCAAGTGCTTGCATAACTGCTTCGTGAATCTGGCCCCAGATACAGAGTACCGAAAGGGAGATGTCTTGCACAAATAAGAGAAAGATCTAGCAATTGATATCACACCGAACCCGTCTCCTGAAACCCACATCAAAAGAATATCATCAGCGACGTATGCGAGGCTGGCCTACATCAGAACTGTCTTTAGAAACTTGTGTAGTAAGTCATTTAGAACCTTGTACAGTATATAACATGGGCAAGACCACTCCTGGAGTATGCAGCTCAAGCACCGACTTCATACCTTGTCAAGCATAAGATGAAGCTGAAAAAAGGTTCAAAGGTATGTCACAAAACTAGTCCCAGAACCAAGCAGAATGAGGAAAGGCTGCGTGAATTGCACCTCACGCGGCTGGAAGACATGATAACCAAGGGAATTGAAAGGATAGATAAGGATATTATTTAGTATGGGTGGTACTCGCAAAACGGAGCACAAGGAAGGTGGGAGGAGGGAAGGTGTAGATAGAAACCAAGTACACAAATGAGCCACAGAAACACTTAGAAAGAACTATTTCAATAGCAGTAGTTAAATGGAATGTATTGGGAAGTGATGTGGTGGAGGCAGACTCCATAAACAGATTCAAATGTAGATATGACAGCTCAGGAACCATGTGCACTAGTAGATTGATAGTTGAGAGGTGGGACCAAAGAGCTGATGGGCTGCCGAAAAGGTATTTTTCCAAGTAGTAGTATTATTATTTTGATTAGGTTAGGTGTTTGTGTTCTGTTGGCAATTATTTGCATTTGCAATACGGGTGAAACATTTAACAACCCGTCATCAGACCAAGTCTATTCCATCCAGTGGCCGACCCTAAAGACGCATTCATAAATTTTTACATGCTGTTCATTCAAAACAGGAATTTTCTCATATATAAATTAATATATTATATTACTATATTGTACATATTTATGCACTGGTTAGGTGTTTAGGTTCTATTGGCGATTATTTGTACAGGTATTTGTAATACGTGGGTGAAGCATTTACAGCGTTGTGGTTCGAACAAAAGTCGTCAGTGAAGCATTTGTTCCGGAAGTGTACGAACGTCATCAGTTGAGAGTCGTGTGTGAACCGTTTTTCAATCATAAACAGGGGGGTTTGGCGGGTGCATGGAATCACTTTTGGCTTTGTTTGGAGGACGGGCTGGCTGGACGTTCAAACCTTCCTCTAACAGCGCTTTGCTGACCACCTCTGCTCGAATCACAACTAAATGCTTCACCCACGTACTTCTAATACAAATAGTCGCCAACAGAACCTAAACACCTAGCCTATGCCTGACTATATATAGAATTTTAACGAATTACGTTAATTTATAAACGCGAACAAACAAAATTGTAATAATGTACACAGTAAGGTAAAATCGTTGCACGTCTTGGACGAGGGCGGCTACATTAACGAACCTGGCCTGAGGACAGGTTGGTGGTTTTCCATTCATAAACACGGGATTTGGCGGGTAGATTAACAAGCACTTGGCATATCCTTTATGAGACGGGATGTTTTAGAGGCGCTTCGAACATCAGAAGAGTGAAGTTAATCATGTATAGTGTTTTTTTCATTCATAAACAGAGGAAGTTGCTGGCTTCATAAGCGCTAGCCAATAGTTTTGAAGATAGGCTGTTAAAGACGACCCGAGCCCTACCTTTGACATGGTCAACTGGGTTAAGTACACGTTTCAGAGCCAAGGAGTATATAGGAAACCTCAAAAATGCATAATAAAACACATGTCTGGGTCCAAGCGAAACTTATTTGGGACAAAAGATTTCTATCAATTATAATGTAGAAAATGTTTAAAATAGTAACAAAAATGTCACAATTTCCCCCGCGTACAAAAATGTAACAAATCATAAAGCGTCCCTTTAAGGTGGCAACTGTATCATGGAAGCATTTATTGATAGGATAATAAATAATTTTTTATAATTAAAATGAACCAGAAAAATCGCAGACGAATCTTAAATTCAGAAAAAAAACGGCCAAACTAAATAACAAAACCCAAAACGAGGCAAATCCACGTGGAAATAAGATAATTTACTGCTGCCCCTACAACGAAAAAATAAAAAGGGCATCTAGTAGTGATGTTAACCAAATTTAATAGGGATTTTTCCATCTAATCACAATATTTTAAAACTAAAATATCTTTCCCAGAAACATTCTAGTGAAACTATACTAAACGGCCGAAGAAAACACTCAAACAGCATAAACGTCACACAACCACAAGAGAATATATCTAATAACAGGAAAACAAAATACACACATGACATACCATACCAGTTTCCTGTATTAAGCAACTGACAGCAATGTAACCTGTGGTAGCTTCCGGGACCTGTCATGAGTTGTCACAAAATTTATGGCTCAAATATACGGCATAAATATAAGAGGCTAGTTCAATGGACTTAATGGACAATTAGACTTATGGCTAGCTCAATTAAGCAAATATTGCTAGTCCGGGATTGGTTATGCGTGACGCTTACCACTAAAAAACCGGACTACATACTGTATATGCAATATTCAGACGCAAGCATATGCAGTGAGACTGCGGTATTTGAAGCCCAACCAACGCATTTTTACTTTGAATCGAACCAAGTACCCGTGACACAAGTATGACGTCACATGCTGTTCTGGAAGTCGCCAGATATTTTTTACAACTGCCTATTTAAGATAACCTAATCCAAGACAAACAACCTATTAAATGCAGACGACGCATCGATAGATGTATTGCATTTAGAATAAGAATCACAGCTACACGTACCTAGTGTTCCAAGATAACACTTAAGCTTTAATTATACTAGTTTCTATACAAACCATTGAGGACTAAGTGTAACAACCCCTTCAATTATTTTATATATCATAAAAGTGTTGCACTTACCTCTCTTAGGACATCCGGCCGACAGTTGTTGACGTACATCCACTGGTCTCAAATTCTATACGAGATAGGGACCTGCTCGATATGTCTGTGATACAAATAACCCCAGACTTCCTAACCCGTCACACCTCTGTAGACTACTGAGGTAGACTGAGTCATGGGCAGTTATCGAGCGGACAGGAATCCGTTCTTGGCTCACCCGACGTGAAACGAACCTGTCCAGCAGTAATATACGAACTCGGCAGCAATATACGTACTGAAAAATTCAATTTTGTTTGTCTCTAGTTGACATTTAATTTTTCTCATTCACTTTTACATTGTAAGTGATATACTTCTACCTTATGTCGGAGAGATGATTACTGACCGATAACTCTTGTGGACCACTTATTGTGAGGCAAAATAGATACTACAGAATTGTAGTATCTATTATAAATACTGTAACATAATTGGAATTTCAGAATGTCATTTGTATGGATAGCCTTTCACATACGTATTTTCCAGCATAATGATAGGGACAAGCTAAAGATAATTGTAATAAAAGCGGAAGTTAAGCTAGATTTTGGTATTACAATGTGTTGTCAAAATCACATTTTTTTCAGGAATAAATAAATGCTGACAGTGGAGCAATCACTGACTCTCAAAGGACAGAAAGCACTAGTACAGTATATATAATTATTATAATATGTTTAGAACCGAGTACAATATGTACGGACAGCACAAAACATTCATGATAGACCATGTGACTTTGTAATTGCCGGAATTAGGATGGGATATCGATACGTACAGGTGTTTGCAGGTAATCACCTAACAGCAGCTCGCCAATTGTAAACTATGTGAAAGAGAGCTGTGAGAGACACCCCATATTTGTGACTGGCCTGCTGCTATCAATGATTTTTTATCAAATGGTATAATATACTTTAAGCTCTGTAACTTACTTCA